GGGGGATTTGAAAGGCAATTTAAACAAGCTCAATGCTCCAAAAGCCAACCATCTCTTTAAAATGCTGTCATTGTCTAGAGTCCCAAATAAGGCCTAGAAAGAAGTTGCTCCCATACAGAACAGGCCTGTCTGTACACAGCAAAGTGCAGAAGGAGCCCAGTGTCAGGTGTGACTTTGCCACTGTCTTCCCTGGGGCAGGGAGGGAGACGGGAATGGACTCTACGGGCAGTGATGCTTAGCATCAGAGAGCAAGAAAGTGAGGGAGCCATGATGCCAAACTCTGCCTACCTGGGTTCCCTGGGAAGGAGAGTGCTACCAGAATGCTGAATGAGAAAGACCTTTACTAAGGAAAACGAAGTCCAAACAAACGAAAAACAAAGAAAAATGGATGTCGGCTGATCTAACCCGACTTCTAAAAGCATCACTGCCCAAAGGTAACAATAACCAGGGACAGAAGACTCTGAAGGATAAGAGTGTCAGAAATCGGATTCCTAAAAGTTGCCTGGGAATAAGCTGTTCCCCAAGTGACTTTTTCACATAACTGAAAATCTGTTCCTCTCTTTGGGTATCAAGGTACTTCTAAATTTTCTCAGTCATAAAATAAGATTTTCCTAAAACATACTATATACTTAATTTGTCTTCTTAAATATAAAAATGTCAGCTTTTATTGTATAATCTTTGGTAAATGACTTCTAACATTCATTCTAGTTGGTCAAAAGCCTTCCTTCAGGTGCTGGGATACATTCTAGATACCCGAGGTTGCCAACCATGTGACTTCCAAACACACAAGGTATATATGTTACTATACACTTTAGTTCACATGTGACAGTAGTAACTCTTGTATATCCTGGTCTTGATTACAAAATAGTAATAACACACATTCCAAGAGCTCGGTGAAAATGAACAACAAAGTTTTCATACATAACAGTTTTATTAATGCAGCCTAAAGGCTAACCACTTTCTCCAACGAAAATACCTTTCATCTTCCTTCTTGGTTCAGTTACCAGAGAGTTGACTACTGTACTAAAATTGCCTTTTTAAAGCTGAAAGGGTCTTCTTTCATGACCCTGGAATTTAAAAACTGACTGAAAGCCATACTAAGTCTCCACCTCTGAGGAAATAAATAAACTAACTTTTCTATCCGCAAGCAATCAAGCTGCATTTTTACATCACCAGAGGCTGGACTGAACATGCTGAACAACTTAATTAGACTATCCAAATCCCTAGTGACTTTAAGTGACACTGTGTTATCAAACTTAAAGTTACAGATAATAGTGTGGTGAAGGCCTGGAGGGGACCAATGGGGGAAAAGGGGGACATTTGTAATACTTTCAACAATAAAGATAAATTAAAAAACCAAAAACTTAAATTTACTGTCTATTGCAAGAATACAGCAATTTTTCATGAGGATATACTTTATGCCAAGAGTTGGCAAACTACAGCCCACAGCCAAATCTGGCCATCCACCTGTTTTTGTAAATAAAGTTTTATTGGGCATGGCCACACCCATTCCTTCATATACTGTCTATGGCTGCTTTGTCTGAGCATAGAAGTTGTTACAGAGACCATAAATGACTTACAAAGTATAAATATTTTCATTTACTATCTGGAACTTTACAGAAAATATATGCTAACTTTACTCTGCTTTATAATATTCTGTTCCGTGTATATATTCTGAAAGTTTAAATATGGCTTTCATTAAATATGTGAAAAAATCATCAAAAAGGCAATTTCTCAAAAAAAGATGAGATGCCCATCACAGGCCACTATTATTTAAACATTTAGTCAACATCAACCATGTACACATTGCTACTTTTTTTTTTTAATTTACCTGTATTGTTGAAAGTATTACAGATGTCTTCCTTTCCCCCCCATCGATTCCCTCCACCCAACATCCACTCCTTGCCCCCGTCCCCCGCAGGCCTTCTCCACACTACAGTCTGTGTCCACAGGTCATGCATATATGCACATAAGTTCTTTGGTTAATCTCTCCACCCCACTCCCCATCCCCACCTTCCCTCTGAAATTCGTCTATTATCTCTATCTACTGGAAACAGCACATTGCTACTTTTTAAACCATCTCCCTCCCTATCCATAAAGAACAAAAATGTATTTCTACGACAGCAATACCAGGTAGTTTCTTAACTCACATTCTGTCCGGTAAGCTCACCTCAGCCTTAACTTCATTCTGTAACTAGAAATGCACCAAGGGGTGGCTTTTGCCCCAGTCTAATAGCCAATGCCTACTCTGATATCATTTCTGGCATCCCTGAACTTGTCATGATCGGTGATCATGTAGGTTACCACATATCCCATCAGAATAACAACACCGGATTTCCAAACAAGGCATATCCCTTAGATTTAGTGTTGAAACATTTTTTTTAAAAAGAGAAAAGTATTCTAAATGTAACTGGAATAAAAATACTATCAATAAACATATAAAAGTTTATTACAAAACAAAATGTGTAATAATTAAGGATGAATATAAATGCTATTAATTTTATGCTAAAAACAAATAGTTAAATATATAAGAAAATAGTTAATGTGAATATTAAGATAGTGTTTGGGATAACTTTATGAAAAATATTATATCCCTTTTGAGTCAACGAATGTAATTTTAAATGTAAATTCAATTTTAAAACAAATTAAGCATTAAATTTTTTCATAATTATAATTTAAGCATTAAATTTTTTCATAATTACAATTTTCATAAAATTGGTATGCTTGAATTAAAATATGAAACACAATAATATTTTAAAACTACTTAATTTTTAGTAATTTAGTTCAATTTAGGTCATAAGTCTTTCAAGGAAGTCTTACTGGGATCTGTTCATATCTTGTGAGAATGAACTAAAAGCAGGATGTCAACTTTGCCATCTCAAAATTTCTTGAGGAGGAATATCTCCAAAAATCACAATCAACTTCATTAAATTACCTCTGATTCATGCAAATTTCAGATTGATTACTGTCCTCTAGAAATCCGTTCTATGATGATGTCAGCTTTGAACAAATTGTGACCCTGACATCATTTGCCATTCAGCCAAACTGGGTATTCAACACACCTCTATGCTATAATACTTTTATCCAGGAAAAAGACAAGCTTGTTCTTGCAAACAGATTTTTATTCTCAATTAGTAACAGAAGCAAGACCAAATAAAACGAAATGTGCTTATTTTATTATATACTAAATTAAAATAGATAAAACTTAGTTATTATATACTAAGTTTCTTCAAGTTACCATAAAAACAAAACACACTTCACACAGAGAAGCCCCCCTGTACATAGCAAACTACAACACTACAGCTGAGCAAGAGTTTTAACAAGATCCAAAGCAGCAGCAGGGATTTCTGAACACACAGTGTCTAAATGTAAAAAATGTGTGTGTGAGAGTGTGTGTGTATCTACACATCTACGTGTACACATGTATAAGCCTTTGAAGCTTTACTGTAAGTTCTCATCCATTAATCCCAAACACTTGCAAATTCAGTAGTTATCAAAAGTCCAACTATTTCAGAAATTAGCCTTATATTAGACTATTCAGATAAAACAAAGAAAAACATAACCTAAAAACAAACACCTTTAAAATATATTTCCCTTCTCCTATTCCAACACCCCAAACATTCAAAAGTAGACAATTCATCATCATTCATGACTTTTAATTAACCCAACATTACATGTGTATATGTCTTGAACCTAGTACCACATTCAGATAATGTATAGAAAAGATATAAAACAGTGACTTTCTGCCCTAGCTGGTTTGTCTCAGTGGTTAGAGCAGCAACCCATGGGCTGAAGGGTCCCGGGTTCAATTCCAGCCAAGGGCACGTACCTCGGTTGCAGACTTGATCCCTGGCCCTGGTCAGAGCCCCTGCGGGAGACAACCAATCAATGTGTCTCTCACATTGATGTTTCTCTCTCTCCCTTCTACTCTCTCTGAAAAGCAATGAAAAAAAGATCCTCAAGTGAGGATTAAAAACAAGTGATGTTCTGTTTATATAAAAATGTTAATTGAGTAAGTTATTTAAGGATAGCTTTTTGTACTGATTCGTTACATTAAATAAAACATACATATTTAATGTTATATTTAATATACAATGTATTTTATTAAAATTATATAATATGATCATTAATATATTTTTTAATTTCCATATTTTATTTATTTTTTTAAGCCTTGCCTAAGGATATTTTTCCCATTGCTTTTCTTTTGTAAATATATTTTTATTGATTTCAGAGAGAGGAAGAGAGCGATAGAAACAGCAATGATGAGAGAGTCATTGATCAGCTGCCTCCTGCATGCTCCCTACTGGGAATCGAGCCTGCAACCCGGGCATGTGCCCTGACCAGGAATCCAACCTTGATCTCCTGGATCACAGGTTGATGCTCAACCACTGAGCCACACCGGCCAGGCTCCCATTGCTTTTCAGAGAGAGTAGAAGGGAAAGAGACAGAGAGAGAGAAACATCGATGTGAAAGAGACACACCAATTGGCTGCCTCCTGCATGCACACAGACCGAGCCTCTAACCAAGGTACATGCTCTTGGCCGGAATCGAACCTGGAACCCTTCAGTTGGAAGGTCGACGCTCTAACCACTGAGCAAGCCTGCTAGGGCAATTTTCACATTTTAAAGGTTTGTTTAGCCTAAGTACCTGAGGTAAAATGTAAGAATTGTGAAATGTGAAATTTAAACGCCTGTGAAGACAATCACATTTTCTTTACTAACAACTGGAATCAAGGCATAAAACTAAATGAGTAAAAACTCCAGTATACATGGCGGTCAAGTCAAGCATGTCTCATTTAAAATATGCAAATCAAGTCATAAGTCACATGAACACAGTCCCTCAGATGAACAAAAAACAGGGGAAAAAAAGGCTTTTTTAATATGNGTCAAGTCAAGCATGTCTCATTTAAAATATGCAAATCAAGTCATAAGTCACATGAACACAGTCCCTCAGATGAACAAAAAACGGGAAAAAAAGGCTTTTTTAATATCTTTGGTATACAAAAAAACTATTTTCAGTTCATTTCTGTGAAAAGGAAATAAGGAATATTTTACTGAAGTTCTTAAAAATATTATCAATGAGTTTACTGAGGAGCGATACAAAGCAAATGGCACGCCTGTCAGGCAGTTGCCTGAAAGACCAACAATTTGTGCTAAGACCAGAGGCGGCTGCTCACTGATTTTGGCCATTACTTAACAACCATCACACAACATACCTGGTGAACCTGAATTTCCACTTTCAGCGCTTCCTGCAGAGTCTGCAACTCCATCCTCTACCTTCTCCACTTTCTCTTATGTCTGCTAATTCTATAGTGTCTTCAGCCTCTGTTTAAAATAACAAACTCCTCTTCTCACTGCAGCTGTAGAGATCAATCAATGTTTTAGATCATTACATTAGGTATAAAAGAAATATGCATGTTTAAAACAATACATTTATAGTAGCTGAAAAATATTTGATTTTCCTAGCACAGGGCAAGAAATTTCCCCAACAGATTTCTTTCCAAAATGAATAGTTTTGTACTGACTTGGTACCAAAACTTTCTGGGTTTTATTCTTTGAGCATCCAAATAAGTAAGAAATGGGGAAAAAATATGTTTAATCTGGTCATGAAAACGTCTATGCACCTACTACGTGCTCAGCACCCCACTACACACTACATTCTGAGGATACAAAGCTGAACAAGACCACTCTACCCTAGATGAGTTGGGAATCTAGAGGGGGAGACTACAACCGTCCAGGACACACTGTCCTTAGAAAAAGACACATAACAACAAGATCACACATTTTTAAACATCACACACAGTGAACTGGAAAGTTCAGGGTCTCTCAGAGGTTACAGAAGGCCAGAGTACCTTTTTCATTTGGATGAACTCTTACTCCATTTAAAAAACTTTTAAAAACAGGAAAACTGGTTTAAGTTAAAGGTTTACATTTAACAAATTAATGCTTAACACAAATACAAGGCAATGTAACTATGTTTTCCACAAAGTTATAAAAGCAGTATTAAAAATAAATCTATTGTGCACAACAGATGAGGTGGTCTAGCAATGGAACAGATGTTTCCATCTTCTTTCCGAGGCCGCCAGTGCATCTTGTCGGCTAAGTGTGTAACTGCATGTGGAGATGTCGAAAGTCTAGATTTGTGAATGTGAATCTTCCTAGCCTGCTCTGCTTGTCACTGCTGCAATTTAAATGAACTCAGTGGCTAATTTCTCTTTTAACATTTTTTCTTTTTTCTTGAATGTAGCTTTTGACATGATTTTACATACCCTCCTCCAAAGCAAAGTTTGCTTCTGTCTGAATGAATTTAAACTTTACATCTTCATACCTACAAAACTTGTAGTTAGAGCAACTTTTCAACATTCTTAGAAACCGAGGAAGGGAACAATCAGGAAGCTAGAAGAATTACTACTCCTTAAGCCAATTCAATGAGATTCATTATCTTTACACTTTCTAAAAAGTATTTACCTTTGGACAGAGTCCATAGTAAACCTAAGTTTTCTTAACACTTCTTTAAAACCTGATTTGACAGTTATAATAAAATCATTAACTACAGAATATATAGTCATCAATATTAGTTTTCATTATATTTGCTTAACCTCACTAGCTTAAAACATCACTACTGGCAAGCTCTCCCCTAGTATTTATAGTATTAAAATACTTTAACCTAAAAAACAGTAAATTTCAAAAGCATAAAATTCCTTCATACTCACTTATGGAGGCTAGAAAAGGATTAGTGTACAATAATATCACCAACCAAAAATTTTCATAAAGGTAGTACGTTTAGAGGATATAATTTAGAAAAGACGTATTTGGATGAACAAACCTGGGCTTTTCAGCTACTTATTACCTTAGAAAATCTTTGGAACTATAATAAATAAAAAGACATGAGAATCATTAAGTTACTGACAGACCAAGGTTTTTATTGTCATGTAAGTTTATGTGACATACAAACTCACATGTTAAAACTACACAGTCACTTTAATTTTAAATACTAAAATAATCTCCCTACTAAAATTCTTGATTTATGTCCTCGAGTTCTTCCTGAAAACAGTATTTGAATTAGCTGTAATTTTGTAGAAAATGTGTCCAAAAATGATCTGTTATAATATTTGTCAAATTAAGAATCATCTTGAAGTTAAAGGGGTAGTTTCAACACCAGAAAGGCCATATATTTTATTTTACTGGTAGTTACATATAACATCATAGCTCAGCTCAACTCATATAAACTCTGGAAACAAACAGCAGATTAAAAACATGAAAAACTTAGAATATAAACAACAAAAAGTTAACATAATCTACAGTTAGAGTACTCACAAATTAATATTTTAAAACTATGAAAAAGCAATTCACTGAAGAAGAAATAACAATGACAAACAAACCCAAAAAACGCCCACCTTCAACAGTCATAGAAATGTACATTTTAAGAAAATAAGTTCTGTCTATCAAACTGACAAAGACTTGTAAAAATAACAATACCATGAGCTGTCTAGAGTTTGGGTCAGGCGGCATTTTCATAAGTTTTCACTGGTTATCTCCGAGGGGTAACACAAAGAGTTATTTACTTTCTTCTTTTCTGAGTATCAGTATTTCAAAAATTTCCATAGAAAATATGTACTTATTTTTAAATAATAAAAAATTAACTGAGGATTGCTAGCTAAAGCATCAGAAAATTTTATACTGATGAAACAAAATGTTCAGGAGCCAAAAAGTAAAACCAAGGCTTAACCTGGAGGCTGTAACAGTCAGAGTGCCTGGCAGGGTAAGGAGCCTGCAGCTCAAGTTAACGCGGAGCTCGCAGCTTTACTTCCTTCGTTGGATTGTTGTCTACTTATTAGAGACACACAAAGGCATACATTTTATTTGTCAAGAACTCTAAATGCCATTACTCATTTTATTTCAAAATAAAACATTTAAAAGAAGGGTTAGAAAAGGTAGTGACTTGTTATAGAAAAAACATATGGAGCATTAGAAGGTTCCTTTGACACCCTTCTTCAGAAAGATCTTTCTAGACAGCAATTTTAAGATGGTCTCTGCCTAAAGGAACAAATTATATACACATATTTATAGCTTACAAAAACAAGGCAAGCACATGTTAAATCCTTTTTAAAAATATTTTGGGGGCTTAGGCAACTCATGCAGCCATCATGTAAGACCATTTGGGGGCAGTTCATAGCATCATAAACAAGGTATGATTTACTAAATCTGAAAAAGACGATTTATCTTATTTTTACCAACTCTAAAAACTTATAAATAACAAATCAGTTGTAAGGTAAATATAAACTGATTCACAAAACAGTAATAGACACACTTTCCTGAGGTACAATGTCTTTCACCACCCAGCAGCTCTAAATACTACCATCAGAAAGAACAACTGCCTAGCACAAAACACCAACCTCTGCTATGTTCAAAACTACACATGTAAACCATGGGACACTCAATGGCCTCTCACCTTCAAATGACAAAAAAACCCAAAAACATAAACAAAAACTCCACCCACCAACCAAACAAAAACAGTAATCGAGTCCCACTAAGAAAGGCAGCTGCGATGCCTGCAAAGAACATTTGCTGTCCCCAAAACCAAAAAAACCTGATTCTACTTACCGTGTAATCACGCTCAGACTTAGGGTTTTTAAAATTTGTATGTTTGCTTATAAATCAGGAAAATGGGAACAGTATCGCCTACTTCATAAAAGCGTTACGCGGTTTGAACAAGGTAAATACCGTATGAAAAGCCCTTTGTAAACTAAAGTTCTATGCTATTCCTCACACACTTAATGCTTTTATTCATGCGCACAAACTTTTATAAACTTCTCAACATAGCATATTGCTGAGAGGACTGCAGGCTCTCCTATTTTCAAGTTCTCTAAGAAAGGGCTTTCTAACTATTTCTCTGGGTGCAGTTCTGCTTGGAGATGTGTGACCGCTAGGCCTTTCACTATGATTCTAATAATGCAGTATCGCTGTAACCCTGAATTCACTGCTAAGAAACACTGCTCTGCTCCTGAACTGCTATAAACCTTTTTCCAATCAAAACTTGACTCGTCAACCATGTTTCTTAACTAACAGTAAGTCAATAATACATTGTGCCCCTAAAAATGGTTAGCTCTGTGTTCTCTATACCATATAGTTTCTTGGTGTAAGACTCCACTTTTGATCTATAATCTCAGAATAGTGTTTTGAGTAGGTACAATTAATTTTTTTAAATATAAAAAAGTAGAAAGTCTTGACAGATCAGTGTATCCTTACTTGTTACACGCCTAATACTAAAATATCAGGTTTCAATTTATAAAAAATATTATGTATCTAATATGCTAAGAGATAAAATAGTATCTTTAACTTTTAACTAATAGCGCTAAAAATTATCATGGATGCTAAAAATAATAAAATTTTTTAGTAACACTTACTGAAAACTAACATTTACTAATATGAATCAATAAAAATGACATAAAAAAATACAATATTTGTTTTCTTATTTTCATGGTGGTAGCTCTTTGGTGACACTCCACAGGTCAACAAAAAAATGCTACTGCACAGAGCTGGGCAATCCCCATTCTAGAGGAATCTGACAAGGTTACTATGTTCAAATTCTGGTATTATAACTGCTGACAAAAATTACTTTAGCTAGTGAGAATGATGCTTCCTAACCATTAAATTAAATTTCTACACACACACATCTAGGTTTATGATATCTGAATGTCTGAATGTATCTGAGTAAAACATATATATCTTTCCTGTTTGGGTTTTTGGGGGAAGGTGGCCAGGTCCTCATCTTTAAAAAAAAGAAATACTGACATAGGTCACACCATTACAACACAAGGGTGTGGTACTTTGGGTCAAGTCAAGTCCCCGCAGCACCCTCTCCTTGACAGGTCTGGGGCAGGGTTCTGCACCTCTCCCTACCACCGGTGTTCATTCTAACATACAGTTTCTACCTCAGCTGCCTAGGCTCAGGCCTAGCTGGCACACACACATTATTCTATTTCCCACCTTTCTTTACAGAAATCAAACGTTTACTAAAACCATCCCAACTATACCCAACAACCAGAACACTGAAATAAATTTTAAAAGTTACAGAAATTCAAAATAAAGGAGGCTGGAGAGTAGTGTGTAAGAGCATAGTAACAATGAGGCAGAGATTTTAGAATTGGTTGCCCATTTTACCAGAATACTATTTAATGGCAAAATATAGTCCAGACAAGCCTGGCCAGAATAGTATACATATTTATTACACAAAGGTTAACACAGAGGGTGTGGTGGTCTTGGCATAACCAGTAAGTACTTAATAGAAGTGGAAGTTATGGGAGATAGATTTCAGATCAATTTAAGGAAGAGCTAAGGATTAGAGCTGTACAAAAAAGGAATGGGTTACCTTATGAGGTAGTGGGCTCCCTGTCATTAGAAGTATTCAAGAATGCTGCATATCATATCCCCCTCTTGGAGATTCACAATGCACATTAGCATATTAAAGGTTCTGAGAAGTCCTGCAGTAAAGAAACCTGTTTAACTTTAATGCAGCATTTCCCAAATTATTTGACCACAGAACATTTTCCCACCCCCGCCCAACCTCAGTAATATTTATTCATTTCTGTGGAGCTAGAGTTCCTCAGAATACATTATAGAAAATAATAAGCTACATTTTTAAATAACTGTAATATTCAATATGTACCCAAATAACAATCTGTGAGGGATATAGGAAAGGAAATGGTCACATTGGGTAAAAGGTTGGGAGAGAAGGCCCTTAAGGTCCCTTCTCTAAGAGTCTATGATTCTATCACATCTCAGAGTAAAGGGCTATTGGGTCTTGATTATTTATTTAAAAAAGGTTCCATGAGGGAAAAGCAAGTAGAATAAAAAGGTAGTAAATGCAAGGTTAACTGGTTCAAATGCCTCCCTTTCATGTTCAAAGCCTAATCCCTACAAGGTAAGAAAGACACCTCAAGGACCCTATGTTATCAAAAAGAAGCCTTAACCAAACATCTACTCTATACACTAAGTTAATTACTATTTGAGAGAGAATTAAAAAACAACAACAAAACACAAAAAGGATAGCCTTTGCATTAGGGGGACTCCCCTAGACCAGCTATCTCGCTTGAATTTAATTTTTTATCATAATACATGCTCTCCCAATAAGGTTAGTATTTGTTTGATCCTTAGTCACTAGGCTGCCCTTTGCAATCTGTGACTTTGAATTAGACATTCAAAGAAATGATTAAGTGTGATGATTTATAAGCTGTGAAAGTAGATTTTAAAGCAGATATTAGAGAGAGAAAATGTGTTTGCCTATAAGCCCACACTGCTATATTTCTCTTTATTTTTTCCTCTTTAAGAATTATATAAAACAACACACACTAAAAATGTAATATCTGACATGAAGCCAATCCAACATTAAATTTAAGAATATAAATACTTAAGAGTCCCAAATTTCAAAGTCAAGGTTCCCATAGTTACATTAACCTAACCATTTTTCACATATACTAAGGCCATCAAATTTAACGGCACACTAAGTAATACAAAACACAATGGAAACCTTAACTTTTGAATTTCCTGACTTTTGCATTTTCAGCTCTAACCACTGCATTAAGGACATTTTTGGCACAGGGGACCTTTACATTTTAACAGGTTATCGAATGCAGAAACATGCAAGCCTAGCAGGATTATTAGAAACACAAATGCATTTGAGATATGGCTATGTGAAATTAGACAAAAATTCACTTTCACTCGGTGCAAAGAGCAAAGCCTCATTCCTGGGAAGAGAGCTTTTCTGCAAAAAGTCACTGAACATGTGAATTATTATCCAACTAGCATCAGGCACACTATGCCTGCCTGATAAGAGTACTTACCAACTTTGGGGGAACTGGCCCTCCTTCAGCGCTCTTGCTCCCTACGACAGAAGGGGAAAAAGGAATTAGGCTACAAACACAGATTTATGAAATGCCATCAAAAGCTGAAGACTGAAAGATTTCTACCTGATTTTAAGAAGAAAAAAACCCATAAACACAAAAATCTCCAAAGCGCTAAAACCCAAAAGAAGGAAAGGAAAAAACAGGTAGTTTTTACAGCAAGGGAAGATTTCAAGAACACTTAAATCTCTAATTTTCCAGGTTTTTTTTCACTTTTCCACAGTTTTTTCAAGACAAGGAAAAGTAAGTAGTTGATGATTTCCCTTTCCTAAGAAACACACAAAAATGAAATACACCTCACCTAAACAACACAAAAATATACTCTCATCCCCAACAAATGATCTTCACTGTCTGTTGCTTTATATTAACAAACTGAGCTAACACCATTGTCCCTTAGTTTGGTCTACTCAAAAGGCCTTTTTCAATTAATCTTGAAATGGATTTGTCTTTTATATAAAAGACTTGAAAATTCACAGCATTTTAAATGTATAGTCATAATTTTAATTAAACTTTTCATTCATATTCTTCGTCTTACTGTTTTAAGACTATAAACCATGTAACATGAAAGTGACTTTCCCTATGCCAACTTATTTAATCAGTTATGAAGCCAGAAAAAAAAAATCAAGGTTTTGGGATCCCAATCCAATGCTCAGTGATGCTTTTATCAATTGTGTTTTCAAAGGATTAATAAACTCCATTAAGCTGACTCTAAGGTCAGAAAAGTTAAGTCAGGCTATACTGTTTATTTTTAACTCTTCCCTGTCCCAAACTTCTTCCTCAATAAAAAAATTAGGAAACAAAAATTTAAACTTTCCCCCTAATATTTTAGTAATAAATGATTTAAACTCCAATACCATGCTCTAAACCTACAAGTATCTTCCTTTATGCTTTAAACAGTACATTTGCTGATTGATGTTACTCTAATCGTGTTCTCATTTCCTCAAGGGATATTTCAAAAAAATCTTCATGTCACCTGATTATAAAATTTTTATTTAATCATGTACAGTCATACCAAACATACAGTAAAATAATTTAAAAGGGCCCCACTTTGTAGTTAACATTCATTTCCAAAAGTAATTCAATTTGCTGTTTTATCCAGCCTTTTCTTTAGCAGCACTACTTTTTAAAGTTCTCATTATAAATGGCAATTTCAATCACCAAGATTAGAATGACTCCCAAACAAAAGAAAAATCATGCAGAAATCTGTAGAATAATATGGTTATTAAAAAGTGGATTCTCACAAGGAAACAAAAATTTGTTAACGATGTGTGGTGACAGATGTTAACTAAGCTTATTGTGGTAATCATTTCACAATACATACATATATCAAATATTATATACCTAAAACTAATACAATGTTATATGTCAATAATACCTGTTTTAAAAAGTGGATTCTTAACATTATGGATACCTACAGGGCTCTGTTCTGTAGGAATCAGAACAGTACCGTGCACATAGCAAATGCTCAGTAAATATTTGTTAAATGAATGAATTCACTGAGTGGACCCTTAACTCTCTGTTGCAGGTTTATTTTCTTGTTAGCTTTCTCATGCTGGGGATAATTTCTTATGCATCGATCTCCCACAGCATTATTTGTCAAATGAATGACTTTGGACAAAAACAGTTGATTAAGAAGTTAAATATTACTATTTTAAAATATAATGAAAAGACTGATAATTTGGACTAAGTGAAAATTAAGAACTTCTGTTTATCAAAAAAAATTAAGAAAACGAAAAGGCAAACTACAGAATTAGAGATAATAATTGCAACACATATAATAACAATAGTTTATACCCAGAATATATAAAACATGTTTAAACTCAAACTGATCAGATATGGTTGGGATTTTAACTTTTACTTACATGGCATTTGAGAAAGTATAGCCACATAAACTCTTCTGAAAAAAGTCATATTCAGTAAAAAGGCACCATGGAGGAACACCTTATCTCCAGGGCATTTCTCCAAAAAGTAGTAGAGAGTCAATCCCAAATTTTACCATATCATGAAACTGCAAGTCACATAGGAAATCAAAGCCTGAGAGGTTAAGTGGCTTCCCCGAATGTCACACAGCTAGCCGGTAGTCAAGCTGGAGAAAGGCTTCCAGGCCCCGAGATTCCGCTGACTGAGCTGGCCTTTCCACTAGACCTCACTTCCTCTTAACCAGCAGCAGCAACTAGTCTTCTAAGAAACAAACTACAATAAATAATGGCTAAATGTTTTTGGAAAAGTCTGCATGTAATGTTTAAAGAAAAATCGTGTAAGTAAGCTATCTCGGGCAAGTTTTAAAACCTGAGATCCTTTGTGCCTGAGGGATCCCTGGGAACGGGTGTCAGAGGCGTTTGCCAACTCCATGATACTACGCACTAAATTCTGCACGTATGAAAATTCTGGGAAAAGGATCCACAGCTTTAATAAGATTCACAAACAGGCTCAGATGCCCAAAAAGAGTAAATTATTTTCAGACTAGTGATTCTTAAACACTGCATCAGAACTACCAAAGTGTTTCTTCTGAAGATTATTAATTGACTACTATTTGGAAACTGATGAGGAAAAAAAGAAAAGCAAATTTTTTTTCTATAATTTAATAAGAGTGAATTCGCAGCAAAAAAAATTATAAATTTTTACTTTTTGCACTATCCATATACAAAACCTACTGAAAGTCTAAAGTACAAGATTGATTTTTCTCATGTTAAGCTGAAAGTCCACTTAATTTGTTTCTCACATATGGTTCACACTGTTAGTTAAGGTAGTTCAAATTTTTCACATTTGCTTAACTTTTTAAAATATAGATTTGTTCTTGAAAAATACACTCAAAATATATAAGTTGGAGTAAATGAAATTATTTTTGCTTCAGAGATATTAACTTGCTAACATAACTTGACATGATTTTTTGCAAAGTCAAAAAATCTTCAGATTCTCAGATAGATGCTTTACTTAGAGCTGGTACAGAAATGAATCATCAGATTTCTGATCTGGTTGTAAAATTTAAAATATCATCAATAAATCAAAGGTGATTAATGACTGCTTCTTAATTACCTTTTACATAATATCTAAAACCTCTGTACATAAAGAGTATATATTAAACAAATTTTACAGAGAAAATAAAATTTTCAATACTAGATGATGTTTTAAATTAGGCTATTCATCCCACTACAAATTTCAAACAATTAAGTTTATAGTGTATGCTCAATCATAAATTTTGAGAAGGGACTTACGAATAGCACAGATAATTGTCATTCAAAGACACTTTAAAATATCACCTCAGCCCCAGCCAGCATGACTCAGTGGTTGAGCGTCAACCCATGAACCAGGAGGTTAACGTTCGATTCCTGGTCAGAGCACGTGCCCAGTTTGCAGGCTCGATCCCCAGTAGGGGGCGTGCAGGAGACAACTGATAGCTGATTCTCTCTCATCAGTTATGTTTCTCTCTCTCTCTCCCTCTCCCTTCCTCTCTCTGAAATCAATAAAAATATATATTCTTTAATTTTTTAAATGTCACCTTACCCTGAAGATTCAATCTCTTCTTTTTCTACTATACCAAGCTGATATACTAATTTTATATACAATAAGTTTTATTGCTTTTTATCAACCCTTTCTAAGTTCTAAACAGAAAGCATAATAAATTTGAAATAAATTTAAATGCAAATAAGTGCTCAGAAGAAAAAGCAGAATCCTGCCTAATGTGATTTATTCCTTTAGGCCCCAATATCATAATCATCCCTCTTGCCCCCATCCCTCTTAATCTTACCTACACATGGACATCCCTCTAGCACCCTCCCCCCTTACTCTTAAGAAGCATCAATTTTTCCTTCATTACTAGATCACTTTATTTCTTCTATCTTTAAAAAAAAAGGCCTTCCTTTACTCCATCTCTAGTTATTGTCCCTGTCTATGCTCCCTTTTACAGCAAAACTTCCTAAAGTGTTAACCACACTCACTGTTGTCTCCTAGTTCCCCTCCTCTCATTCTCTATTGAACCTACTCAGGTAGGGCTTTTGCCTCCTTCCGTTCTTGTTAAGATCACCAATGACCTCCCAGTTGCTAAATCCAATAGTAAAGTCTCAGCCCTCACTTCCTGTTCAATCAGTATTACCTGACCCAGCTGATAATTCCTTCCTTTTTGAAACGTTTTCTTTTCTTGACTCCCAGGACACCACCCACTCTTGATTTTCCTCCTGATCTCTCTGCCACTCTTCTAGGTTTCTTTTGCTGGTCCCTTCTCACCTCTCAAAACCTCAAAATGTTGAACTACCGCAGGGCTCAGTTCTTGAAACTCTTCCCATTAGGTAATCTCACCCAGTCTCGTGGCTATAAAAGGATCTGTGTACTGGTGACTCCCAAATTTTTATCTCCAGTCTAGACCTTTCCCTTGAATTCCAAATTCATACCCAACACTTGTCAAAATTAAACTCTTGGCTATCTATTGCCCAACCTTCCCCTCAGAATCATCCCCATCTCATAAGTGACAACTCCATCCCTTCAGGCCAAAACCTTAAATTCATCATTGACTCCTCTTTTTCCCACACCCTACGTCCAATTCGAGAGCTAACCATCTTGCCTCCACCTTCAAAATATACAGACTTGCCCTAGGCGGTTTTGCTCAGTAGTTAGAGCATCCACCCGCAGACTGAAGGGTCCAGGGTTGGATTCGGGTCAAGGGCATGTGCTTTAGCTGCTGGCTCGATCCCAGGCCCCAGTCAGGGCACGTGCGGGAGGCAGCCTCTCTCTCACATCGATGTTTCACTCTCTCTCTTCCTCTCTCTCTCTTCTACCCTCTCTGAAAAGCAATGGAAAAAATATACTCAGGTGAGGATTAAAATAGAGATAGACAGAGATTTTGAACACCACTACCACCTCCTTGTTCCAAGGCACCATCATCTTTCACCTAGATTATTGCAATGACCTCCTAACTGGTCTCCTTTCTTCCATCTTTGTCCCACTATACTCTCAGCAGTCAGAGTGATCTTTCCAAAATCCAAGA